TATACATATATGTAACAAATTATAGTCATGTTTTTATACCAATATTTTATTTGTGGAAATAAAGTTATGTAAAAAAATATTTTAAAAAAAAATCAAAATACCGTAAAAAGTAGCTAATAGCGCGCTACTCATTTGAAAACGATAGCGGGCGATAGCGCGCTACTTTTAAAAGTAGCGTTTAACAAACACTGTTAGAGGGTATAAAGCAGAGGATCCGAACTGAACCTAAACTGGACCCTTACGCTGGTATATTAACCGTTACTATATATCGAACCCGAAACTTAGACTAAAACTCGATTCTTTAAAATGATATCTGTTATAAATTTTAATTTAGTGTTGTTAAATGGCTCGTAGCCTCGAGATTTCGATATTTTATGTATAGACCTTTGTTCCTTCTAAGAACAAAATCTTCATAGCCGTTTTTAAAAATCGGCTCAAAACGAGTCTTAACAAAACTAATTCAATATGCTGTGTTAGAAATCGAATGTTAAAATGTTATTTTTTTAAAAATTGCTATCACAATTTTTTTATAAATTTCAAAATTAGATCTTAGAAAAAAAATATAAAAACTTAAAACTAAATTTTTTTAAAAAAAATTTCGTATTATTATTTACTTTCGTGATAGGAAGAATAATTATAAGGTTATAAATGGTATATAAAAAGTAAAACGTATAAATATAATACTTTACAAACTATCCAAAATAATGAAAAATATTTTAATTTTTACCTGGTTCCATTTCCATAACTAATAATTAAAGTTTTAAAGAAAAAAAATTCAATTTATAGATGAATGTTTCTTAAAATATAATGGTTTTAAACTTTGAATACATCCTAAGGTTATAGCCGATAGAAAAGCGAAAATGCTATTCATTTATTTTAAAAAATTATATTTTTTTTTGAAAATAAAAAATTTAATAAAATAAAGGGTAGAAAAAACAAATATTTTCTTAAACGAAAAAATATATTTATTTATATTAGTTGTAAAATATAATGATTTTTATAAAAAAAAAAATTTGCCAAAATAGGGGTCAAACTTTTTGAATTTAATCATAATATTTGTTTTATAATTATAGGAGAAAAAAAAAACAAAAAAGGTGTTTAAAAAACAACGAAAAAAATGGATATCCAAGTGAAAGTTTAAGATATAACAAGAGGGGAGAGGGTAACGTACCTTTATACACTCCACCTTCCCATCGGAAATTGCTGGTTAGGGTACTCATATTTTTCAAATTTTTTTCCTCTCTTATAATTTGTTTATGTTAATACTACGATGATTATAGCAGAGAACTCTCACCTTTGACCCCCTTTAAAAAAATTTAAAAAGTTGATAAACAGAAAAAAAAATATATGCTATGAACCTTATTTTATAAATGTTATTATAGATACTTTTTTTTTTAAAAAAAATTTTTAGATTATTTGAAAAATTAATTTGATAAAAAAAAAATTTAGAAGAATTTTCGAATAATAATAATAATAATAATTTTTTATATTTATATTAGTTAACACCAAATATGAAGATTAATGTATACAATTAGTTTTGTTAAAGGCCTCGTTTCTTGCCGGTTTTTAAAAAACGGTTAAAACTCAATATTTTATTAGGAAAATATTATGCAAACCTTTAAGATTTTGCTCGTAGGTGGCACAAAAGGTTTAAACAAAGAAAGAAAGAAAGAAAGAAAGAAAGAAATAAGCCCAAATTTTATCCGAAGTATCAGAAGTACTCTTAATTTAATTTAGTCATTAATGCCAATCGAACCCATATAATTTAAGATGATTTAGAAAATATTTATATTTCGGATAATAAAAATATTCCTCCTAACTAGGAATTCTTACATTTTATCCGTAAAATCTGTTCGTCATATTTTCTTCTGGGGTTTTGATTGATGTCAGTTAACAAGCAAATAATTCGTATATTCTTTATTATTGATCGTTTTTTGAATAAAAGAGGCATCCATGTTGCGGCGAACTACACGTGTATCCTGGCCAACCCCTCTCCGCGACCGACTAAGCTTTAAACCATTACCGAGAATTTCTTATTCCAAATTCATTAAATTCGCTTTCAGCTTTCACCTTCCCAAATCCCCTTCAAATTTGAAGATTATGATATTTTTTAGTGCCTTATAATCGTAAAAACGATGGGAAACCAATGATGTCTTGCCTTGACATCCGTCATCTCGCCTCTCCAGCACAGGGTTCTATTTCAATTTAGAAAAAGTAGAGGGTGGGGGGGGAGGCGATGGTGTCCTTAGTGATGGAAGGAACAAAATAATTTCTTATTTTTTGGAATTGAATAAATCTGTGCCCTGCATTACAATCCTGTTTAGATTAATAGATACATGTTTATAAAAGTAAACAGTTACATTTGCGCAGTTACATTTAAAAAATATACAGTTACTAGTAACAATTTTTAAAATATAACTAATTGCGGTTATTTTTTTAGCAAAAATGTGTAAATAGTTACAGATAACAACACTATTAATTATGAAACACAAATATAATTGTAAAAATTTTAATTTTTATGGGAATGATATGATATATTATTTAATTAAATTTTTTTTACTATTAAAAAAGTATCCTATTAGTTTAAAAAAAAGGTAAAAACATTCCGTGATCCGAACCCGCCCCAGGTCCATATTACCCCGGGTTCAATGAGTTGTCTTAAAATCGGTCTCTGTTTGATCTGTGGTTTAAAAAATCCCAGCCAAACAATTGCTTAAAATTATATATCATGCAATAAATTTAGTTACCCAGTTTTATAAATAAGGGACGAGATTTTACAAATTATAAAGACTTTACTTAGACATATATATTTGGATAATAAAATTTGGAGTTTAAAGGTGTGTTGGTGAATTTTATGAGTTATTAAATGACATTTTATTGGTTAAAGTTTTTTTTATATATATTATATAATTTTCACAGATGGAAAGCTAACTTTTTTGAGGGAACCTAGGGTCATATTTTGTACGTATTTATGATGGAGTTAACGTCCACGGGAAACTGAAGATTGTAAGCATACGATTTGATTAAATATTTATCAAAAATTATGAAGTATGAGCAAGGCACGTCGATAAAATATAAGAATCAATCATTTTATTAAAATATAAACACCTTAGTAATGTTGCCGACATGTTTCAAGATTATAAAAATTTAATATTTTATAAACAATATTTTTTCCATATGCATATCTTAATTGCTTATGTTTTAAAATTAAAGGTAGCAATATATTTTTTTAAAAAACCCGGTTAATATTGCATTTAAAAGGAAATAAGTATGGAAAGTTAGTTTCAGCCGATGATTTATAGGGTTTAAAAAATGATTTATTTGATCAAAAATCAATGATATCGAAAGGATCACCGAAAAAATTTAATTGGGCCATTCCACGTCAAATCGATCACAATTCGGCCGGCCCCTTTTAAAATTGTTAGAAATTTTGGGAGTTATTTAGAGAGTTAAGAAAATGAGAAAGCTGTTTATTTTAGCTCGGTAGCACACCTGGTGGCCGAGATATAGGGGCTCAAAGGTCCAAAAAAGAGCCCCATTTTAAATTTTTTAAAATGCTTATATCTCAAAAACTTTTTATAGTAAAAAAAATATATATTATATCTTTGTAGGTAAAAAGAATCGCTAAAGAGCTATCTAAAAACAATAAAAATTGGCGCCAAGGATTACCTATTTTGCTTTACCTGTGTTTTTAAGCAAAAAAGGGAGTTTGTTTTCAAATTTTTTTTATTGATTTTATTTAGACACCTTTGCTAAATATATATACGTTGTCAAAACCTTGGCGACGCTATAGACTCCAAAAATTGATGTAAAAAATAGATGGCGCTTTATGAAATTATAGATTATGGTCAAAATTTTGCTGCTAACTTATCTATAACCGGATATTTTTACTTTTTATACTAAAAAATTTTGAATTTCTATTAAATATACTAATTAAACTGAGGAACAGAGTGTGTAAATGCCCATTAGACACTTAATACTGTAACAAATTTCCAATAATAAATATCTTTCATATGATTTTTTTAATTTTTAAGGTCATCGAATTTTTCATCATTAGATGAAGATAATGGTATAATTTTAGTCGTTAAAACTTTTTTTTACTTATTTTTTTCCTTCGAATATTTCTTTTCACATTCTCTTTATGGGGCTCCTATTGATTGTAGGCATATTAATGTTATCAATAGCCTCATGATTAATTATATGAGGGGTGGAATCAATATCTACATTGTCATTTAAAGTATAAGGAATGTTTGCTAATTTTTGTCGGCATGATGAGCATATTAACATATCTAAATTAAATGGTAAATTTTTAAGGGTCATCCAGAGTAGAATCTTTCTTAGATTCTCGCAATAATAAGCATGTCTCTGTAGATTAAATGGGATGCAACATTTTAATATTTGGTACGTTTATCTGTGATATAGATAGAATAAAATTTTAATTAATCTGCACCTAGAATAAATGTTTTTGCACTTCTCCAAATCCCGAATATTATTGGTAGACAGACGATAAAATAAAAAGCTGCAGACGGGTTGAATTATTTAAAATTAATCTGAACGGACAAGTTAAAAATATTACGCAGAAAGAGAGATCGTTTTAAACAGTTTAAACAATATTGTATTGATATTCTCTTTTAGATTTTACAGTTATTTCAGCTCCTATAAAATAAAAATAGAATTTTATAGAGATAGAAATATATTTACTTATTTAAGTTAACTTAAAATTTACATAACTATGAAATATACCTGACAAAATTATTTTTAATCGTAAAGGTAAATTTTTTTATAAAAAAACATATGAAAATAATCTAACCAATAAAGTGCTTATATGATATAGGTGACAAAGGGGCTTCGGCTAGTAAATCATAAATAAATGTTAATCAATGTTCACTTTTGATGCTTAGAATATCAATTATTTTAGAGTTTAAATTTTCATATCAATTTTTTTATTACCTATGGGAGAGTTTTATTCTATCGATTTATGATAGATGTCAATCTCAACATTTTAACATTCTCAATTTTAGGATTTCAGAATTATAGCAAATCTTTACATCATGCCAGATTATTTAGGAGAAGATCAAAGAAAAATTAAAAAAGAAGAAATTGAAGACAAACCAGTTCAATGTACATTCCTTCTGTTTTTGTTCTATACATTAATATATATTTATAGCACTTGATGAGACAGATATAGATATTTTGAAAAGCTATGTAAGTCACATGTTTAACTAACTTGTTTCTCTAATTGTATTATTTAATATTTTCTATATAGGGGTCTGGACCATATGATACCTCAATTAAAAGTGTGGAAGATGAAACAACTGCTATTTTGAAAAGAATAAATGATTTATCAGGTTTTTTATCATTTCCAGTTTTTTAAGAATAAATTTAACTCATATGGTAAACCTCGATATATATCATATATATATATACTTATTGCAAGATATTTTGAATACATATATGTAAATAATTTTTCAATAATACAGGTATAAAAGAATCAGATACAGGGCTGGCTCCCCCTGCTTTATGGGATTTAAATGCAGATAAGCAAGTATTGCAATCAGAGCAACCTTTACAAGTGGCCAGATGTGTAAAAATTATTCAACCTAGTTCAGGAGTTCCTGATACATCCACTTCAGGACCTGAAGGTTAGATTTATTAAAAAAAATTTCCACTTTTTTTTTATCTAAAGGGTGTTTTTATTTTAGTATAATTATTTACATGCTTCATTATTATAATGTCTAATCCATCTGGAAATTTGTAATTTAAAATAGCATTTCTAAAGTATTCAATAAGGTATGGTTCCAATCAATTAAATATAATTAATTTTCATTTTAATAATATAAAAGTTATAATTCTCTAATGTTCTAACTTTATGATAAAATGTCAGCAGTTTTATTTTATACATTATAACAAATTCATACAGGGAACCAAAATTAAGTTTATTTTTAATGTTTAAAAAAATTGAATTATTTTATTAAGCTGCTGTTTTTAATCAATTAACTTAAGATTTTGGCTAAAAGTAAATTAGCCAGGCTTGGAAAAGGCTGTACATCTATTATCTGGATTAGGTAATAATATTTTTGCTAAAATCTTGATTGACATTTTTAAAAATCAGCAAAATTGAGCTTTAATGACTACATTTATCCATAAACATTCACCACATTTTAAAGAGATCAAAAAAAACATAATTCTTAATAATTCATAAAAGCTTTTATTTGAATGGCAAATATTCATTTTATGGCAGCTATTCAAATATAGATGGTATATAAATTCCATTTAAATATTGGTATCAGTTATCAGATCAGTTTTGTAGTGATATAGTATGGGATTAATGAAAAATTTATTGATCAGCACAACATTACCCAACAACTGATAAAATTTATAGTGCTGTGAAAGATACTACAGGTAATCTGTAAAACATGCATGAAAGAGGTCCACAATAATCATAACGTAAATAAGGGTGGCTTGGATATAGGCAATGAATCTAGGTAAAAGTGAAGAAGTTTAATATCTGGAATGTTAAACACAGATTCTGAAGGGTCAGATATGCATGGAAGTAGTTCAAGTTATGCCACCTTTCTATAATTGAAAGTGTTAATCTTTTCTACCAATAAAAATGTATACCTTGTAGAGAAACATTGGTATAAGAAACTATAGTCTACATTGACAAAGCTTGTGTAATTAAGTGACACGTTAAGCTAAATTGGAGAGCATAGAGATAGGAATGATTAGATGGTTATGTGGGGTATCTTGGTCTAAAAAAAAAATTAGAGGAAAAAATTGCGAGAAAGGATTGTAGTGGTTGTGAGAAGAAATAGATCTAGTTTGTGGTACATTGAATGATGGGTGATTGGATTGAAAGATGCATTTTTAAGTAATTTAAGACCTCCAAGAAACCCAAAGATTACTTGGGTGAAAGATAATGGATGATATGAGAATACTTGATCTTACAAATATTGATGCCATGGTTGGACCATAAAAAGTAAAGAAGGCCTGTAAACCTGTGAAGAGGATATATATTTAACTTAATCACTTATTCGCTATTTTATTAACCTTAGCTGGCTAATAAATGACTCATATTATATATATATATTTATATCAATACATTACCTCCATCCCCTTCACCATATAAGCTTAAGCAAAATATGAAATTAAACATTTTCCTTCCCAATCATCTGGCTGAAATTCCTTTGCCAAAATCTTTCCTCATTTAAAATCTTCTTATTTTTTTTAAAATAAATAGATTTTAATGATTTTTTTAACTATAAAATGATAGTTAAATATATAAATATAAATATTTATATTAAAAATTTATCGAGGCTCATGCCTAACAAGAATACATTCTAATGTGACAGGCACGGGCCTGAAGATTAATTGAAAATTTGAGCTATGTTGGATATGGAAAATGAATGTCATTAGTTTTTCTTCTTCTTTGTTACCTCATTTATTAAATACTGACAATTTACTTCATTGAAATGTTTGTATTATTTTAAATATTATTATATATATATTTACTTCTTTATCCTTCTCCTAGTGTTGCTAAACGACTCGTTTTGAGCCCATTTTTAAAAACGGCTAACTCACTATTTCAATCAGAATAATTAAGCGCAAACCTGAAGATTTTGTTTGTAGAAGGAACAAAGGTTTGGACATCTATTAGCGAAATCTCAAAGCGTGGGCTTCATTTTTCCGGCTAAAATGTTGAGTTAGCCGTTTTTAAAAATCAATGAGTCGTTTAACAACACTACTCTCTCCCTTTCTATATACGTATACATATTATGGTTATAGCCATGGATTCCACCACGACTCCCGTCTCCGCTAACAGTAACTCGGATTCAGGAAACGCCAAGTATATCATAAACGTGAAACAGTTCGCCAAATTCGTGGTAGATTTAGCCGACACGGTAGCCCCTACGGATATAGAGGAAGGAATGAGAGTCGGGTAATTTAAAAAAAATATATATATAATTTTTGTTGCACTTGATTTATGATTTGTACATGGAAATCACGTACAAAGCTTAGAGATGATTTTTCTTAGAAATTCAAGCTTTATAAATAGATTTTCTTAAATCCAGGATCTTGCCGAAATTATTTTTAAAAAATGTGTCGCTATTTTAGTTTGAGTGTATGTAAGAATTAGGAAATACGTTGAAAATGTTTTTCGTTAATATACACATTACGTTCATAGAGACTTATTTCGTTACATGCTCTAAACTACATTTTAAAATCGTTCTCAAAATACAAAGAGTTTAAACTAGTAGCTTTTAGATAGATTTAGCTAAAATAGAATTTAAAATTTTATTGAACTTATACGTATAAATAGATTTTTGACTAAATATTTATTTATTCCAATTAATATACAATAGAATATAATAAAAAACATAGGTTTTCCCTTTTTTTTGCTTTATTTAATTGATACTAATTTTGTAAAATACATTCAACCAATCGGACCTTCCCTCAATACTTTTTTTGCTCTTTTTAATTGAACGATTTGCTTTACCTTTACATCTAAATTAATCACTTCATCTTTACATATTTATTTTATTTTTTTCTACGATAATATACTGCAGAGTTGATAGGAACAAATATCAGATACAAATTCCCTTGCCTCCAAAGATTGATCCCACAGTTACGATGATGCAAGTTCTTAATTTTTTACAAAATAAGATTAAGCACCGATTCAACTTTTATTGTTGGTGCATGGTATTTATATTTCATATAAAATATACTCATTTATTTAGTGATACATTTACGTTGGACGTGCATAAATTAAATACTATATTTTTTAGTTATATTGACACAAACATTAAATATAATAAATTTAGTTATATCGACATTTACCACCGACTTATGAATATTAAATATTATCTTTTCTTTAGTCTATGATATTTAAGTCAATTTTTCCTTATTTTTTATTCTCTCTTTACAAAATTTTATATTTAATATTAAACTGTTAAAATTTTATATATTAATTTAAGGTTTTAAAAATGTCAAAGCATAATACAGAAATATGTGATATAACAAAATATATTGCCCCGATTCCAGATATCTAGCCAATATTGCCCACCAATTTTTAATTAATTTTAAACATTTTGTTCCTTACAGTAGAACGAAAAAGTAAGCCAAAAGTTTGGGACCAAATACACGGGCACCCCGAACGATAAGTTTGGAGGAGGGTTTAATAACAATCCATATTTTTAAATTATTAGGGGGTGGGTCTTTGGGGACACAGTTTTGATAACGCTTTTACAATTGTCCTAAAATCATCAAAAAAGGAAAATAAATGAAAACGGGGTGTTTTGGCAAAACAGCTGGAACAGCACTTTGCAGCCAGTTATTCAATTTTATCACAAACAAACAAAATGGAAAGGAAACGGGAAGTTTGGCAAGGAACGGCCGGTGCCATCTGTAGCTCTTAAATCAAACTGAGTTTTTTTAATGGTACTCATATTTAATACGTAAAGTTTTACTTTAAATCAAAACTTTCACGACAAAAGATGAGTAAAATTATCATGATCCTAGTATTTGATTTTAGTTATCATTTATAGGAATAAAATATATGTATATAACAATTTTCGCGTCTAGAGTTTAGACCAAACAATTATCTCAGTCTGTATCGCAACTATAAAAAAACGAAATGTGTTTTTTTCAGTCATCATACTATTCTTTAGACGTTAAATCATTCTTTTTTGGCCAGTGGTTGGAAATGTATTTCACCATATGATAAAAAAACTTGTTTTATATAATAAAAAAAACGAAATATATATCGTCAATGTGTTTTTTTCAGTCAATATGTTATTCTTTCGACGTAAATCATTCTTTTTTGAACCAGTGGGTAGAAATGCATTCCATCATGTGTTAGAAAACTTGTTTTTTTTTAGAAAAAAAAATGAACTTTTGAATTTATTATGAAAATAGATTAGTTTTTTTAAATAGATATTTTTTATGTTTAAATTATAAATAACTCACAATTGTTCAGAAATTGAAATATATTACCGATAAAATTAGATTCCCAAATTTTATAAAAAACTGGCTTGAAAAAATCAACACATAAATGTTATACGTTAGCGTCAATGTGTCTTATACCGACAATTGGATATTTTTTCAACTTTAAATAATTTTTTTGAGCGCGTTTTTTTTTTAAAATTCCTATTTTCCGGAAATACATTCTAACATGTTTGGAAATACGTGTCTTATGAATTTAGACAATTTTGCTGTTTAACCTTTGAGTCATTATTATTTATATGGAAAATCTAATTATAAATTATATTAAGCTTAAAAGTTCGTGGAAAAATTGTCTTAAATTCTTAGGGTAGGTATTCCAAACATGGCGGAAATACATTTCCGGTAAAGTCAGATTTTTGGTGTGCCATTTTTACAATTTGTTAGGATAAGTCATAATGAATTTCAAAATGTATTTTTGACCATAAAATATAAAAAAAATCGAAAGTTTATTCAACTAAACTTTGTAGTAGGGTACGAATATTTTTTTGTATCGGCGAATAAAACTAACGACTAATAATAACCATAAATATCCGGCTTGAACCGGTATTCGGTTAGTGCATCTCTCGTCATTATTCTTGTCTTTGATCAATAGAAAGGGTGCGAGTTAAAGAATCTTCTGGTTTGCCGTTGTTCGAAATTTATTATCGTTTGTATGATAGTTTAATTATTTTATTTTTTTAAATTGTGAATAAAGAATGTATGTTTTGTAAATTTAATTTGGAAATATTTAATAAATTTATCAAATATCCCATCATACCTTGATTTATGGAATGAGATTGATTCCCCCACCTTTTCCTTTATTCAAGCACGCCTTAGAAAGTACTCGATCTTTAAAGCTTAATACGAACCATTCATTTTTATATTTCGATTAGATGTAACGTAAATATATAATTTGATTTCGCCATTTTAGTATAATGGGATCGGACAATTTTAAAATGGCCGTTAAAGATATTATATCAAAAAATAGAAAATGAACGATTTAAAACAAAATGACTATAATAGGGGACTTAATCCTCTTTTTATTTGGGTTCAAGCTTCAAAATAATAATAATCATTCGTTTTATTACGCCATTTTTTTATGATTCGAGGTGGAAGAGAAACCGGACGTGACGTATTCCGATGTCGGTGGTTGCAAAGAACAAATCGAGAAACTGAGGGAAGTCGTCGAAACGCCATTGCTACAGGTACGAATCCCATATGTTTTAAAAAAATTTTGATTCCATAATATATATCACACACGAAAAATGTAAATGCTAAAATTCTTTTAAGATGCTCTATAAAAAAAATAGTAGGTCTAGGCTTTGATAAGCTGAGGTTACCTTTCTAACAGACCTTAAATATATGACTTAATAAATAATAAGTATGGTGTATATGTCGTAGTATATTAACCCGCGTTTTTAACATCATTTTATAGCCCATATTATTTTTTTAAATCTGTAAAGATTAGGTTATACCTAATTTGTATCAAATAACGTACCTAAAAAACGAATATAAATAAAAAGAAAATTAATAGACTGAAACGGTAATGATTTATGTAATATAAACATATGGGTAAGAAGTTAGTAAGCAGTAAGGTCTGTGCCGATCTACAAATTATTACCGATCCGATCCGATATTTATATTAATTTTTATTTATCATCTATCTTTGAATTGATATGATAAATCAATATTTTTCCAGTTCACCTAAGATAAAGTGTATTTTGTATTTTTTTTATTATTCTCCAAAAGTTATTCATCTCATTTAAAATATTTGCGAATATTTATGAGTTTGAATGTAGTGCCGTTAAACAGCTCCAATTTATTTGTCATCTAAAAAGAGCTAAATATAGATTTTGGCCACAGTATTATTACCTACAATGGAAGTCCAATCATTTCTTGCCATCTGTGGGCAAAATCAATAAACTCGAATGTAGTGTTGTTAAATCACTAAAATTTTGTCAACTACAAAACAATTTAGCCAAGTTTTAATGCTAACAAAAAATAATCTTAATCATCAAGTTGAGATTCAACTTAGAGTTCTAAGCTAATTTTTTTTAGGTTAAAAGATTGGCTAGGTCCTAACGTAATTGGCCAAAGTCAGGTTATTAAACATCACTACTTGATTGATTTAGTTTTGGCCAAAATCTTGAGTTAACGTTTTAAATAAGATTGGCTAATGGAGTCATTTAGCAACAGCTGGATGTGACTAATTAGATATTTTAAAAATCGTTTTTCTCGTAGCGAATGATGTAACAAAAAAATGGCGTAAAATTTTTAAACTATTTTTTTTTAACACCATTACAAAACAAATTGGAATTTATTTATATATTAAAAATAATTTTATATACAATCCAATGACATATAATAATAGCTAGACTGACGATGCATTCGTTAAAAGGTGTACATCAATGAAAACAGCTGGGGACGCCATTGTTTCCCATATTATTATTAAAAAATATAAACGACAGGCCGATATAATCACATGTTTGACGCAAACTTTTATTAAAGAATTTCCTGATCATCGCGATTATAAGGAAGCAAATTATCGATTTAATAGTAGTTTCTAACATGAGAATAATTACTATATGGGTTACCAAAATGGCAGCTCCAGCTAATTTGCATTCAACGACGCTTTCAAGTGCATTATTATGAATGCATCATCAATCTAAGTATCATTATTATTTGTCATATTGTACGCTAAGTGCAGATATCTATTTTATGTTGTTGTTTTATTTTACTTTGAAGCGCTAATTATTAATTGCGCAATGCCTTTTAGGTTAACAAAATAAATATGGAATTAATAGTAGCTAAAACATTTTTTTGTGAACTGTAGGATTTTTGGTCTTAGAAATTTGCTAAAAAAAATCCCAATGACATTGAAAAAAAAACTTCTATATGTTATGTTTGATATTTATAGCCCGAAAAATTTGTCAAGCTCGGCATAGAGCCCCCCAAAGGCGTTCTCCTCTTTGGTCCGCCTGGCACTGGCAAAACCTTGTGCGCGCGAGCCGTCGCGAATAGGACGGATGCCTGCTTTATCAGGGTTATTGGATCGGAACTCGTTCAAAAATATGTTGGGGAGGTTAAATAAATTATATATATTTTCTAAAAAAACACCATGATTTGGGATGAAATTTTTAATGGGGAAGGAAAGGTGTATAAATTCTGAGAGATAAGGGAAATTTAAAAGCAATCAACGATTTTTTAGCCATACATTATTATTGCGAGGTTCAGTTTTAGGTTTTGGAATAAGATGATTTGGTCTGCATGAAATTATTATTTTGTTCCCTTAAAATAGTCAAATATCATTTTGGAATTCTCTAATATTATTTAGGTCGCTAGTTCTCGATACGTTTATCACTAGCACGTCTTTGCAAAATTATTAAGAAATTTATTCTTTAATATACTAATTAAATTATATTTAAGATAATGATAAAAATCATAATTATTACACCAGGGCGCTAGAATGGTCAGGGAATTGTTCGAAATGGCTAGAACTAAAAAGGCGTGCATCATATTTTTTGACGAAATCGATGCCATAGGAGGTTGCGAAAAAATCCAAATATTATTTCTTCTTTTCATTTCTTTTTTTGTCTTATCGCTTTATTAAGGGCGTTGTTTTTTTTATTTTTTTAATAAATATTATTCGCTTAAAATCATAGCAAATGGTTTTTAATTTATTCTTGATTTGCCTTTATATTATAATTATAATCTAGGTAATAAAAAAAAATTGATCTTATAAATAACTGATTATACGAATGTGATCGAACATTATCAACCTTTCATTTTATTTATTGACAGGAGCCCGTTTTGATGACGGCGCTGGAGGAGACAACGAAGTCCAAAGAACCATGCTGGAACTTATAAACCAATTAGACGGGTTTGACCCTAGGGGTAATATAAAGGTTCTCATGGCTACCAACAGACCCGACACCCTGGATCCGGCCCTTGTTAGACCTGGTAGGCTGGATAGGAAAGTGGAATTCGGACTGCCCGATCTTGCCGTGAGTTTTTTAAACGCCCATATAATTATAGCTTTAATAAAATGCCAGAAAATAGGATTGAAACATGAGTTTGGGTGGTTAGGGAAAAGAGGGAAAAAGCTACGCCCTCTATTAAATTGTTCGGGAGAGAGAAGGGGGGGGCTTTTATTTGTTTTTTTTTCGTAGAAGGAAAATTGAATAAAAAAAAATAATTAATTTTATTTGTAGGGTAGGACCCATATATTTAAAATACACGCGCGATCGATGAGCACGGAAAGGGATATTCGGTTTGAATTACTAGCGAGACTATGTCCCAATAGCACTGGTAAAAAAAATTTTATAATTTTATTTTCGATATATTTGGAAAAATTCGTCTAAAAAATCAAGATACATGTCAGTGGTCTGCAATACCTGGGGTCATATAAGGTCTGAACCCTTTTATTTTCGAGCAGGCTATAATACTGACCCCCTCAGATTTTTTTAAAATTTTCACTAGAGTTTGCATATATTATAACTTAAAAAAAAAAAAGGGAATTTTGGCATTCAAAATCCAAACAGCGCCTAAAATAGGCTATGAAAGTTTAAAATTGGTGGGACAAATAATTTAATCACTCCCCATAGATTATAAATAGTTTGATTATTTTGGTGTTCAATAACATAAGGCCTTGTATTTAAAAAAATTAAATAATCAGATCGGACCGGGCATCCTATGTAAAAAATTTTCCGGGTTAGGCAAAAGCTGAATTCCCACCTGGCGGGCCTGAAAATTTTGCCATTTGCAGACCACTGACACCTGTCACCGAAATAATAATACCTTAAAATTAGGAAACATAGTCTCATAATAATAAAACTTTTATTTTTATATGCACCTTTTGCCACATATGGGTTCCTTTTTTTTAAAGAAAGTATGTGAAGTATGAACCTATATTGAAATCGTAAAATGGCGTAACTATTGATGACGTAATTCAATCTAATGATTTTTGTTCATATTTATATCCTCGAAATAAATAAATAAACACCCAAATAGTGTTACAAAACAAAGACAAAACACAAACTAAACTTTTAACAAAAAATCATATATTTTTTTTATTTAGGAGCCGAACTCAGGAGCGTTTGCACGGAATCCGGTATGTTCGCTATAAGGGCTAGAAGGAAAATGGCGACGGAAAAAGATTTTTTGGAAGCGATTAATAAAGTTATCAAGGGTTACGCCAAATTTAGTAGTACTCCTAGATACATGACTTATAATTGATTATTCCTTCGTTATTATGTAATGTATTCATGTACTATTGTTTCTTTTTTACATTTTATCGATAAAACCATTATAATATTTATATATATTTTAAAAATATTATTTTAAACGATTCACGATTACAAATTTAATCATAATAATTCTAAAAAATTCAAATTATTTCGTTTATTGAATATTTTTTTTATATGGCCTTGGAAATAAGGAGATTCTTACATGCGTATCTGTCTGAGAAATAAAATTTCCCCAAATTTTTTAAAAATTACATAATCCCGCCAAAAATAATTCTTGACTATAACTTGAAATATTAATTTTTGATATATTAATTTTTGATATATTTATTTGATATAAACAATGTCACTAACTTTAATGTATATAATTTTGCGCTATATATAATTATTACATGCTTTAGAGAGGTAAAACGAAATCAAATGATTTGAGAAATATCATAATATAGTAATATAATCTTTTCAGAGAACTATCCCATATACTTTAGCAGTAAGTTAAACATTAAATTAATTAATTAATTAATTTTTTAAATTGATTTATCAATTAGACATGGAACTTCCCTATAGCTTAGATGCGTGATTTATTGAATACCCTGGTGAGTGAATAGACTGAACTGTACCGATGTTACTTTTATAACACTCTGAATGTTTAACAAAGGGTTTATTGTATATAATGTTATCTGGAAACTTAATGCCTATATCCATGTCCTTTACCCTCTATTTCAAATTTACACCTATCTATAATTATATTACATTTTCTGTTTCTTTAAAAATTTTATCCCCAATTCTTACTTAGAACCGATTTACAACTCATCTTCAAGGTTAACGAAAATTATCTTCCAGTCATACAGAGATCGGTCCAGAAAATATTTTTGATTATAATCTCATTAAGATCAGGATGTTGAAAAATTTTTTTACAGATATTTCCGCAATTACATTTATATATTTAAAAATATTTAATCCCCCCCCCCCCTCTAATTTCTATTCTTAATTAATTCTGATAAAAAAATGAATTTTAAGACTTTGTATAAATGTGTAATTTATTATATAAAAACATCCCATCGTAAATAGTTGAGTAAAAAATTTCGGAAATTTTTTGAATAGTTTGTAACAACATTCGGTAACTCACTGAATCACGGGGAAATTTTTAATATTATTTTTATTTATTTTTTTATACAGATTTTTTTTTAAAATTAATAAATATAAGATCATTTGGATATTTTTTTGGTGTAATTTTACAATAAAAAAGGAGTATATTTAAAAATTTAAAAAAACGGAGGAAATTTAAAAGTTAAAAAAAAGAGTATATTTAAAAATTTAAAAAAAGGACTGTATTTAAAAATTTTAACAAACGGAGTATATTTAAGAATTTAAAAAACGGAGTATTTTATTTGTGTAAATTTTCATAATTCTTACAATTTACTATTAAATCAAATACTAGATAATTAATCAATTTATTTGAATAAACATAATATATATACAATGATAATATAAATATATATATTTTAGGAAAAACATTAAATTTATATCATTTAAAAATTTATTTATATTAGACATATTTTTAATATTACGAAAATAGGAATATTCATATATATATAAATGGGAGGAAGATTTTCTGGGGATGCTTGCCTCCCTCCATAAACGCTCAATACGTAGTGTGGGTTGATATATCATTAAGATCTATAAAGTTTTTGCTATGATTGACAGAGTGATGATCATATCCGTTTTCGTTCAGATTGTTATAACTTGGAAAAATATTTAATTTTAAGATTTATCAATATTTAATTTACCCCTTCCATTTGTCCGTCATTATAGTTGAATCATGGACATGCTTACTAATTATACCTAGAAGGGTCCAGCGAAATTCCCATTATTTCCCGACCGCCTACAACCCAAATGGCATTGGATTTGAAAACCCTGCCTGTGTTATTTTTCCTCCTATAAATATGAGATTCGACTATTTCAATAACATGCCCAGGACTCCCTATTTTCTCAAAAGAGATGGCCTGTGTATGGCAGCAAATTTTTCTAAATATTGCAATACCTAAAAAAAATTATTGACAAATTTTATAGATATATTATACCATTTTCCAATAGTACTTTGGGCTAATTTGATCAAAACAAGACTATCACTAATAGAAGTCCTGGACACAAAAAGATATATTAGGTGGATAAATTTGTTAATAGGAAGATTTACATTTTCAAATATAGTGCTTAATTGATAAAATATAATCTAAAAAAAAATAATATATTAAACTCTTCCATATAGAATAGCTGCTTGAACATGTTGAGCAATTCACTCTATAAGATGCTCCATTTTTTTCTATTTTCATGCTATTATTGCAACACATGTGATTGATAAGATAATCATGATCTTTTAAAAAAGCCATGGTCCTTGTATAGGAGTTTATAATTTCGTTAAAATTTATGTGATCCATAAAGATGTAAAATGTTAAATTTAAAAAAATATTAAATTCTTAAAACTTTTGAATTATATTGAATCAAAAAATTTCCATCAAACTCCGACGATCATTTAATTATTATTTTTTAATAAAAAAAAATAATCTAAAATTACGCCAATTGAACCAAAAAGGTATGCAAAATTCTTAAATCTTTTGAGTAATGATTCTTTAAATTATTATTACATCAAAAAATTCTACCTAAATTCAGACGATCTTTAATTTTATTTTAAATTTAGAAAAAAAAAATAATATTAAAAATTTCCCCGTGATTCAGTGAGTTATACCCAACATTCAATCAAAAAATAATAATTTTAAATTGAAAGTTTTATTTAGTCAAAACAGTAATCAAAGGAATGGGAAGATATCATTAGAGCTTTGCAAATTAACACTATTGTAACGGACTATTTTTTTTTAAACCCAGTTCTGAAAATTTTTTAATTTTTTTTTGATAAATATATAACCGATTAGGGATCCGAGAAAATTTATTAATGATGCCTTTATTATATTTTAAAATAAATAATTTTACCTAAAATATAAATTAAAATACCAAATATTATTTAAGCTTATCCAGCGCGTAGCTTCCCTCCCCCCCCCCCCCCTTCTCCCATCCATAACAAAAAAATATAAAGGGTTCTCGTGAATTGCAAAGTATTCTATTTTAAATAGTTTATATTCTATTCTATATTAACCAAAAGCTAAAATTAATTTAAATATTTATTCCTTGTATATATTAAAAATTTGTTTCAAAAAATTTTTAAATTTATTTGCGGTATTTATCTTAAATCTTAAACAAGTGATGGGTATAAAAAATATCAACCAAAATCGATTAAATTTATTCTATACTAATAACTGATTAGAAAATATATACAATGCATGAAATGTTGAGATATCCTAATATTCAGAATTAGATTTATTTCTGAGACTTCTTGTGCTACAGTAAGAAATAAACTGCAAAAAAGTTGTAACTTTCGATATCAAGCTGTGGCAACTTTTTGAAGAGCCCATTTTCTATGCCTTTGGAGAAATATCAGAATAAAATGAAACAGATATTTAAGCTGATAATAATTTCTAAAACTTCTTGTGCTACAGGAAGAAATAAATTGCAAGGAAAATGGTTCAGCATCTTTTTTTTGGTATTTTCGTCCAATGTCTTTTTGCCAAGAATATTTATTTTTCTATTTTTGTACAGCACATTTCTGTATGATTCAGAGAAAGGAGGATAAGAAAATATCTAGCAAATTTTAAATTTTTTATAAATTTATTTTTTAAAGAATCGATTCAGTATATTCATTGAAGCGGTGCAATCCATCACTACATGTCCCGAATTTCTCTTTAAAATCATTCTTATCTAAGAAATTCTATTTTTCTCTCGCTCTAAGGTCCTTAGGTATGGCTATTATTCCTGCCTACCATTCAGAATATTCATTGAAAAGGTGGATTCCACTACATGTCCCGAAAATCATTCTTATCAAAGAAATTCCTATTAATTTCTCAGTTCTTGGGTATGGCTATCATTTCTGCCTACTTCTTCCATTTCATTAACAGATTCGTCCATTACCTCACGTCTCTTCTTGAAAAATCTTTGTTTTATAAATCCTGCTTTAAACTCAATTAATCATAGCAGATCTCATTGCTCAAAACACATTTACTCAACCTTAGATTCTCGTGGCATAGACATTAAAAAAGTGGGCCTTATCCTTTTTTTTTAACATTTCTGTCATGTATTATTATTGGAAGTAATTCTTGAGATATCTTTTTATTTTATTCTTTATCAAATAGCATTTTCTTTTTTTTATATCAAAATCATTTAATGGAAATAAACATTTTATAAATATTAACAAAATAAACCACTTTAATACATAATATTTATCCCAAATCTAATTGGTTTCGTTTCGTTCTTTTCGGATATCTCCTAATTTTATTTTCTAACTTTTGAGTAATATTTTTTCAGGACCTGTATCATTTTCCTCCATCTTCTTTAGGTTTATTTCATCGTTATTGTTGACTACGTCCTCTTTGTTTACTACCTGTTCTACTTCGTACTCTTCAGTTAATATATCTTCGGTTCTTTTCATTAATTGATCAGTATGTATGACGAATAATCGTTTTACCCTCTATACTTATTTCATATCGTAGTGATCCGAGTATTCTTTTTCGTGCTTTCGGTTGCAGTACTAGCCATTGAAACTATTTCTGGTCAGCGATTGCTAGCATCTATCACTGCCAACTGATTTTTAAATGGTCCAATCAATATGTACTCGTTGCCTGCTTTTGGTGGTTTTGTCAATTTTAAATTGATATCTTTAAGGTATATACTGTTGTTCCTGGCATTCTCTACATTTTTCGACTCATATTTTTATATCTTGGTTTATATTAGGCCACACGTATTGCCCTTGCTCTCATCTTCATTTTACCATTCCAATATTTCCTTGATGTATTGTCTAACACGTTGTTTCAGTATTGTTGTGGTATTATCATTTTAGTTCTCCACAGTAAACAACCCTCTCTTCTTTGGCTATACTCCTTTGAACATGCATCATAGTTTATTGGCCATCCATAT